CGACAGCAGCAGCCCAAGCTGCCTTTAATAGCAACATGTTGTATAAAACACTGCGAAATCCCCCAAAAAACCGCGCTAACATCCTGTACAAAAGTATTTTTACAGCAATGCGACAGCTAAAGAGCAGAGCGGCCCAGGGTGAAGGTCACGGCCAGTCCTCCTCGTCCGAGAGGAACTGCTGGATAAACTGCTGAGCTTTCTTTTTGGCAGTTATGTCAGGCTTGGGATGGCCAGGAGGAGGCCGCAGTAATAAGCCGCCAAACACACTAGCTGCAGGAAAAACACAAACAATAAGAGACCGTCAGGAGCGGAGTATGGAGAGCAATTCCATCTTCTTTTCTTTTTTTCTTTTTTTAAGGGTTTTTTTGCTCACTAAGTTCTTCAAATAGTAAAGGACCCGGTTGCAATCACACTGGAGAAACATGTTAATGCAAAGTTTTAGAGTCCAGTGAACAGAAGGGTTTTGGCTTGCCTTACCAAGAATATTCACATCCAAATGGTTTTTCCGTGAGTTTTTGAGTAGTTCTCGAAGAAATGCCATCAGATACTCAAAGACATTTTTATGGCACTTGGGCAATTTGGAGATAATCTTAGGGAAGAAAAAAAAAATGCATTGAAGAAGCACTAATGGTTTAGCAGCTTTAACTACTAACAACATTGCATTTAGCTGAAAATACTAATGTCTCTTAATGACCTAGAAGTTATAGGTCCTTTCTAGTATCAAATGCTTAAGTTACTGAGAGCAAAAACCTATTTTTTGTTTGGAACAAGTCAGCCTGCTGCACCTCCTTTGGGGATTGCAGAAAGGATCCTGCACAGGAAGCCTGTGTTACCTGGCTGCTGAGCGAGAGGCTGTTGGAGCACTCCAAGCAGCTGGCATAGAACTTGTAGCAAATGATGGGCTCTGGCAGGCTCTCTAGGAAGAGCAGCAAGGCTTCTGCCACAGAATGGTTGTTGCCAACTGATCCAGAGTTAAGGAAGAGGCAAGCACAGCATGGTCCATTTTGGTAGCTTTTCTCTTGAAAGATTCCACTTCGCTTAGGTCTGCAAGAAAGCCTCCTTTAAATTGTTAAATTTAACAGTTACATTAAATTAAATGGCTTGACTCCACATAGTAAATACTGCTTTTGTTTGCAGTTGGGCACTCGTGTAACTCATCAGCAATCATTCATGAATGCAGCAAGGACTTCAGAAGCACTGGTACTCCTTGCAACTAGTATTAAATGACCGCACAACTCAGTTATCATGAGATGAGAGATGGTGATTTAAAAATCAAAACAAAAAAAAATTCATGGCAGTGCAAAGATGATTGCTGAAACCTTTTTCAGCTTAGATATTTGGTAGAGCACAGTGAGCCTTACTGGACATCAATCTAAAAAGGATACAGAGGGTATCGTGCATTCCCTTGTCCAAACAGTCTCGGATTTGCTCAAATTCAGATCTGAGGCCTGGTTGCTGAAACAGGTCCTCCTGCAAAGAAGAAAATAATGAATCAAACTCAATAAAAAATGCAAGATATAATGGCAGTGCTTCTTTTACCCAAATAACATATACATTATCCTGAAAAATCTCTCCAGATTAGTAGTTGCCAGCACAAATTTCACCATAAGCAGTTCCCAACTGGGGCCCTACAGTAGAAAACAAAACCAAAGAACAGCTGCTCATGCAGCTCTAAATCACCAGCAAGAACAGTGCAAGCCTGGACCTCTAGCTGCCTTTAGCATGGCCACACACCCACAGGTAGCAAAGATTACCCTTCCCACTAGCTTCTTCAAAACCAAACTAAATACTAAAAAAATTCTGTTGTGGTTCAGGTGCAAGCACTACCAACCTGCTGGGAAGCATTACGGTATAAGTGATCCACCATCATCCACAGTTCTTTTGGAATGTCCAGAGGCTTTTCAGCTTGAATGACGTCCATCATGTGTAGTGGCATCAAGGTCTAAAGAGAGGGAGGGGTGAGGAAAAAGGAGCTGGCCAACTTCTTATTCAGTTCTGCTTCACAAAACTGACAGGAAGAATCTGACACCAAGACTGGTGAGGAGACTGCAGCTTCACTCACCGGTCTACAAACAAGACTGGAATGACAGGCATGCTCATATCACAGGCCCAAGCAGAAAGAACAAGCTGTTCTCATAAACATGCAGCACACACCATCAAATCAAGCTAAATGTTACATCATGCCTCACGAACACACATCTCCATTCAGTAGTGTGAAGCCAATGGCTTCATGGCCAAAATCTATGTTCCGAAGTCGCACACCTTTATTTTATTTCTTTAATATTTTTGATGTGCAGGCAGAGCAAACAATATCTTACTTTCAGTGCTCTATATGATATGGGTTGATTCATCCATGTGAAGCATTAAAGCAAGGTCTGAAGAAGGTGCACTGAAGATTGCATCAGCATTCTCAGATTACAGAGCAGGGAGGAGGAAGAAGGCTCTTTAAGTAATAAGCAGGACTTAATCATCAGGTTTTAAGGGTTCTTGTGGATTCAGAAGGTAAGTTCTATCTTTAACTCACGAGTTCCCGAATAGACTCTGCTGACATGTCCTGGATAGGTTCCCTCATGTAACACAGTGTATGAATGGGAGACCCAAAGCAACTAGGCAAGTAGTTTCCAGTTACAGATATAAAATAATCCTTCCCCCTGTCAAGATGCAAGACCAAGATATCTTCAAGTTTATCTTCGCCAGAGTTTAAGTGTGTAGCTGTTGATTTATTAACAAACAACTCCAACTCAATTGTGACCTCAGAATCTGCAGGAAGATGGTAAAAAATAAAAGAAATGTGCTCAATAAAATAAAATAAAAAAAAAACAAGACAGCAAGCAGGAACAACATTCCCAAAATAGCAGTGGGAGCTAAACTCACTAAGGTGACAAAAATTACTCAATAATGTGCTCAATAAAATAAAATAAAAAAACAAGACAGCAAACAGGAATAACATTCCCAAAATAGCAGTGGGAGTTAAACTCACTAAGGTGACAAAATTTACTCAATAACACAGTGAACACTGAGAAACTCACCTGAGAGTAGAAAGCCCTTACTGGGATTAGCAATCAGCCATTCCTTGCAGTAGGTCTCTTCATCTGGTTTGCTGATGAATTCAAACTGGCAAGGCACTTGGCCATTGCGAATTGTGAACTTCTCTATCTGCAGCTGCATATACTTAACATCTGTAAAATGAAACTGGAAACAAATGTCAAAGTCAACACTGCCAGCCGGTCATGCTTGGCCAAGCACCACCAGCAATTTCTCATATCCCAGAGTTTAATCACTAAGCAGCAAAATATTCAGATTAACCCTCCTCCTCCCATATCCCAGTTCTTCCAGGATTAAATGGGATTACATTTGGTTACTCTGCATACCCAGAGAGGCTTGGAGAGCAAATACTCCCCTCACATAACTTGGGGAAAAGAGAGCTCTAGCCACAAAGGGTCCCAGCTGCTTCTCTTTTCTAGTTCCCAGCACAAAAGGTAAATGCTAGTTTTGTGACCTACAAATCCCTCACTGTTTTACATTTTATGTTTCTAAGCACAAGTAAAAGTAGGAAGCAGACAGCTCTTTTACTGTCTCACTCCCCATTTCAACGAATAACAAGTTTGTAAACTTCACTCTGGTACCTTGAATGAAATTTGCCTCTGTCTAAATAGAAACAAAGACAGAGATTGTAAACAGAAACTTGTGGAAAGGCAATACACTGAACTTTGGAACCTGACTCTGCGTCTATCTGATGCACTTCCACAGCTACAGTGCGTTTCTGGGGTTCGAGCTTGCTTCATTTCTCCAAGGATTTGCATCACATTATCACACCCTACCTCTCTCCGGGAAAGGGTCACCGAGGGGATGTTGGCATTCTCCATCTTATCCAGGGAGCGCACTATTTCCTCAAAAGCTTTTCGATATTGCTCCTCATTCACAACCTTTATCTGCAAAGGACATGAACCGCATCAAATGGCATTTCCTGCACGTCTGCAGGAAAGCTAGAAAGGAGACTGAAACATATGAAGTAATTTGATTTTAATAATACACTAGCGGACACAACAAATGTACTGAATAAAGCCAGCAATACTTCAAGATCTCCTCTGGATCCAGCAGTAAAGGACTCTGCCATAACTAGCAAGAGCCACCCAGTCAACACTAGATCGGCTTCGTAAAGTCTGACAACGCAGCACTGCACTGCCCATGAGGTAGCACTCCTGCACTGCAAGTTTCTGAGAAACTGGTCAGGGGAAGAAAAAAAAAAAGAGCAAAGGAGAGCAAAGGAAAAAAGAAGAAAAAATACCTACAGAGACTCATTAATTATTCTGCTTAAGTGAAGTATCACTTATCACAACCCTAGCTTACTCTGAACAAAGATCCTATCTCAAGATATTACCTAGCCCACCTTACAAGCTATTGTTCTCTATGTGTGCCATAGAAGCAAGGGAGGGGAAGGGAGACAATTGCCAGGAGCAGCTACCCCCTGCTCCCTTCTGTCCTCCCCCAGAGGACAAGGTCAGCACTATTATTCCCTTCAGTCCAGCTGTACCTACCCCAATATCAAACACAGAGCTAACTGGCTTGTGATCACTGATCTTCAAAGCCATATGGCTGCGATAGCTCAGCTGAGTGATGTTCTGGCCTTTCCAGAGGATCCGATCGCACCATGCGGGAATACGACACTTCTCACTGAAACCAGAGAGGGAAAATGACAGCTCCCCAGCACAGTTGGGGTGGATTAACAACACGAGGCAGACACTGCTCTGCTAGGGTCCTACCGTATCTCCCCACATGACCTGGGGCTAGTTTTTTATTAAAGCTGGTGGTGAAATTTTAGTAAGTTCTCAAAGAAACTCGGTTTGAACGTCTGCTATTAGGTGTCTCTAAAATACTCCTGACTTTTTACCTTTTCTGAAGAACTGAAGATAGATTTTGCAACTGAGAGAGAACAGCCATAATCTCAAGAGTGTTCTTACTAGCCAATAGATCTGCGACTCCAGCTTTGTTTTTACTGCCTCAACAATAACAATATTAGGCTTGATGGTGCCATGTATGAGGTGATCACTGTACCTTGTGTCCCAGTCATCACAACCAGTATCATATTTGTATGTTGGCTGGAAAGAAAGCTCTCCTTCTGTAAAGCCTTCAAAGACTGCATTGGCATTCATCTGCCTCTTCAGCTATGAAGGAAGGAAGTCAGATTTACTTTTAAATAAGCTCAAGCACAAGTCCTGCAGGAGCTAGAAGGGGAATGGTCAACACTGAGAAGATCAAGAAGTTCCTGGACTGTTTCTAGCAACCCCACCACCAAGCATGTAGGTGAAACACCTCAGTACCTGGTCATATTGGGAAAGCACTAGAAATGCCTTCTCATCTACAAGCTGCTTCACTTTTGCAACATCCAGTTCTTCCAGACGATAGTTGAGGTCACCCAACCATATGATCACGCTGAAAGAGAACACACAGAGGCCTAAAGATGTCCCAGACCTAAGCTGGCTCTGAGCCAGAAAGAGAGCTAAGCAGCAGTGCCTTAAGTCATCTAATGCAAGCGTGAGTTCTTCTAATGGGGGCTATATTTACCTTTATACATCTGAGACTACAAGAATGAGCACTTGGAAGAAAAACCACATTTTTCTCTTTTGCATCTTTTCTTTTTAATTCCTAGTCTGCATGTTTGTCACTGGCTTTTAATAACCAGTGCTTTATTATTACCCCAAGCTTATTAAAAAAAAAAAAAGAAACAAAACAGAAAATAAAAAGAATGAGGCATGGGGAAACAGAAGAAGGCAAATAATCAGAATTCCATAGTCCTCAAGGCTAATGTTTAAATTGCTAGACAACTCTTCACAACTCCCTGCTGAGAGTACCTTATATCTGCTATATTCTTTCCTGCCACAGGCACAAACAGAAACATACTCATGTTTGCTGATAGTGAGAGATGGTAAATTTGGATCCGTCTGGCAGAACTGCATCCGAGAGCAGATGTCTTTGAAGTCCTGGTTCCTCCGCTCATATCCCTCTGTATGAGCTGCAAGGTGAGAATTCACAATGCATATACTAGTGTTATGGAACTTGAATCTTATGGCAACACCACCTTTGTTACCCTGAAAGATAAAGACAAAGACATGGGTCAAAAGCTTTCCTGTGCACAGCAGATGAAGCCCTAAATGAGTTAACAGTAGTAGACAGGCCAGAAGATTCATGCGGACCATTTAATCCCAGAGGAAGGACAAGGCTGAAAGCCCCAATTCATAAGCTTCATATATTTAGGTCAGTAACTCATATCAGGGTTGCACACAGTGACAGAAGCAAGCAAACAAGCACACGGAACCCCATTTGTAGTTCAGGATTTAGCTAATAAAAAAGGAAATTAAAATCACGAAGAAAGCAGGTCAGTTGTTTCAATAAGACCTGAAGCTCCTCTAGCGACAAACTGGATCTTTCAGCACAGACCATAAGCAATTTAAAAGACAGGATGAAGCATGGGACTTAGCTGCCAAAAATGCTTTCACCAAGCTGGGCTGCAATGCTTGCAGAAATTATATTCACAGAATCACAAAAGGGCTGAGGTTGGAAGGGACCTCTAGAGATCACCCAGTCCAGCCCCCTGCTCCAGCAGGGACACCCAGAGCAGGGGCACAGGGCGGCATCCAGGCGGGCTTGGAGATCTCCACAGAAGGAGCCTCCACAGCCTCTCTGGGCAGCCTGTGCCAGGGCTCTGTCACCAGCACAGTAAATTCAGAGGGAACAGATTTCATTCCAACCACATAGAATGGTCATAAGGGGGCAAGTCCTCCTCAAGAAAACTCTAAACCTGAATAGATATGGTTTTTATCCATGTTTCCTTGCATCGTTTGCCTTGGGCAAAGCCATGGCCAGCACTGAACTCTCGCATGAGAGCTGGGGCCCGCACAGTCCAGCACGTGCAATAAAAAAAAAAGGTCTCCAGGAAAGATTCTCTTAAGATCTTTGAGGCTTTGATGGCACATGGCAATTCCTTCTAGGAACACCCTGAGCTGCCACAGGGACAGAACTATTTTCCTAGAGGCATTCTTTTGTTGGAAGGACAATTGTGGCAATTGAGGAGTGCAGTCGTAAAGGAACTCACCACTTCTCATGCACAGTTATCATTCTTACCATTCTCCCCATGATTCCGGTTCCCACAGTCTCAGTTTCCACCTCGGAGATGTTCAAGGCAAGGTCTGCTTTCACATACAACAGAAGCATTATTCCCACCAGTCGCACAAGTTTCACCTGAAAAAATGGCCCTACTGCATTAAATACTAAAATGGAAGAAATTTGATGAGAAAAAGTTACACAAGTTTCACCTGAAAAAATGGCCCTCCTGCATTCAATACTATAACGGAAGAAATTTGATGTGAAAAAGCTTATCACCCCCTAATCTGCATGGGTCATCAAAATACAGGTAAAGAAAAACATTTCTACCCTGATTCAGTGTACCTGCGTGACGTACAGTACATAGCCCCGCTGCACAATAAGGAATCGGGGATCAAAATCCCTATCAAGGAAGCTGATCCTCAAAGCAAGGGCCTTCCCTCAAAAAAGACAAAAGACAAACTAGACTTAAGTAGCGTGAGTCAAAACACAAGCAGTATTTCTACCAAGATCCCCTCACAAAGCACTGCACCAGGCAGTGAAACAGGGAAAAAGCAAACTGAAATGAAGCCCAAATGGAAACTGATTCCAGACTCAAATAAACCTTCCCAAAAGCCACATTTACCTTGGCATATTTGATATCTGGGTGAAGACTATCAGTTACAGCTTTAAACCATTCTTCTTCCTTCGGTGTGTCATTGAAAAAGAAGGCTTCTTTACTCAGATCAAGCTCCTGGAAACTGTTAAGAGGAAGGAACCCATGGATGCATGCACTTGTGTGTTTGATTTTTTTTGGTTTTGAACATTCCAATCCTTTCCTCCGGGGAAGAATGAAAATCACTTTACACTTTTCACACTGAATTTATAACCAAGAACACGAATTCAGTTATGTCAGGTGTGTCAAAAATAAAGCGAAATTACTGTTATTATTAAAATGAATGCAATTTAAAATTTTGAAAAGAGACCCAGAGCATCCAAACACTACCAGATTAAGAGCCCTTTTAGACTATGCAAATGCACACTCTTAAGCTGTGCAAAGGAGTAAAGCAATACAAACATTCTTTAGTTGTGACGTCTTGGCCAAAAAGCTACATGCTAGAGATTCAGAAGCAAGCAAACCACAGCCAAATTTTGAAAGGATGAACCAGAAAGTATTTACTCACCCCACACAGTAAATATCTGGAGGCTCAGCATCACATCTCAGCCAAGGCCAGAGACTCTCCTTGGGTGACTGACCATTCACATTGTATGTCCCAACAAAAAATCTGGGAGAAGAAGGAGAGAAGGAAAAGAAGGAGAGAAGGAGAAAAAATATTTTGCTAAAATCCAAGATCTGCAAGCTCCAGAGTTGACAGAAGCACCATTGTTATCAGCCAACACTTAATGCTACAGATAACTTTTGGAATAACTTGTTCCTGGGGCAGAGAGAGAAGGGAAGACCAGGACAACCTGACAAAGTTTAAATAAAATTATTTTATTACAATGGCAATTTTACATGAGGTGGCACATGCTGTAAAAAACACTTAAGAATAGAGCTCATTGAAATAGCAATTTTAAATAACAAATTCACAGAACAACTTGCATAAGAGGATTTTAAGCACAGTAAGGTTTTTGTGCTAATTATTTATTTCACCCAAGCTCTTATGAGCTTATTGGAACTTCTACAAGGATCTATGAACAGAAGCAGAGACGGTCAGAGATCACAGAATTGATTAATTTCCAGGCACAATCTGAAATAAGCACTTTGAAAAGGCCATTTGCTGAAAAGGAACCCTGGGGCAATCCTTGATAGAACCATGAATGAAATTCTTCTCTGCTAGTGCATAAAAAATAAAGGTGTTCTGGAAAACATCAACCACATTTAAAAAAAGAAAACTATTTTCTTCTTTGCAGAGTTACCAAATGAAATAATGTACAAGATAAATTTTGGAAGTTTTTGTCTACTTACTCCTCCCCTAGAAAAAACAAATTTTGCTCAGTAATCATCATTACCTGAAGTTCTGGATATGCGTGTAGGAATCTTCCCTTTGTAAAAGCTGAGATTTAACAATAGTATCTCTTAGCCCAAACTTCGGTTCTGATAACATAGATGCCTTATTTGAAACCATCACACTGGAGGATCGCACCATTTCACTTGTTACTTCAGGTTTCACTTTGCTTTGCCTGTAAATGAAAACAGAAATACATGAAGAATTCCAGAATACTCAGTTAACAGCTCATTGCTGCTGCTGAGGGATTTGCTTCACATTTATCCATTTCATTAAAGATAATCAATGTACAAGATGAACAAGCAAGACCGAAAGGAAGAGTTTAGAACAGTTCAGAGCTTCTCCAAATAAAATAATTTACACTGGTTTAACTGAAATTGCAAACTGCTTTTATGAAACTGATACAGGCTGCTGATTCACAGCAGGCCTTATCCACCCGGATGTGGTACAAGCTGTACACGTTTCCTGCTAACTGAAGCAAGGAGATGCAAATCTCTTCATCCACTGCCCCTACTCAGACCTGACCTCAGCAAAAGAATGAAAAAACGATGTTTGTTTAAAAAGGTTTGAGTGAAAACTCCTAGCTTTGTCTAGAAAGGAGGCAGAGAAGAACAGATGCTCATAGAGGTGGCTATATTTAGTCCCCTGTGGCTCTGGCTGACTTGTTGTGAACTCATTTTGCAACAATTATAATTCTACAGCTGGAGTTCCCAGAAATAAGCAACCGTTTATTTATGTCGTGCAACAGCCTACGTAAAAGTGCCAGAGAAAGCACGCAGAGAGGTTTGGAAGGATAGGCAGCAGGGTCCACAACGTCCTGGGAACTGGAAAACGTAACCATAACATTTTAAGAGTGCCTCCGTGAGACAGTTCCCCAATAAAGTGAACTAGCAGGACTGCATCTCTGAGTGGCAGTGTTGAAATTCCCACTGGAGATGTAAGAGCTCATGCTGAACTTTTTGCTCTCCCAACTGCAGCCTCTGGATGCCCCCTTATGTCTAAGTGCAGCCAACAGCGTAACCAGCAGATGGAACTCGCTTATGCAGCAGCAAGATTCTTTGACCACGGATGTCTGCACAGACGCATACACCAGAACCAGAGACACCAACTTCCCCACTCTTAATTTTCAGCTAAAAAACAGGAAGTCCAAAAAAAGTTCTCTGCAATTTCTTTTTTTCTTCCTTTAAACACTGAAGCATCAACAATTTGTTTGCCTTGGCTCTTTCCATCCACGCACAATCACACCAAGTACCCAGAGGCTTGGTGCTACAAGTGTGTTCACTGCCAATACACAGACGACCTGGGAGGACCTCAGCTAACTTATAAAAATAATGAGAGATACCGCATACCTAGAAGGAGTTTTATCAGTGCTGTCATGGCTCCAGTTCTGACTAACCGCAACGTTTTTTCCATTCTGCTTGATGCCTTCGGACGCAGCTGCTTCTGGAAAAAGAAAATAAAGCCTCCTATGAAGCATCAAGTGTTCTTTAATACATCAAAACATGATGCAGAGGGAAAAAAAAACTGTAAGCGGGCTATAATTAAGATTCATATGAAGAAACAAAGCGAGCTACATTCTGTCTTTCAGTTGACTGATAATAAAGCTTATTTTAGAAGAACTGGTCTGTGATGCTGCAGTCTCCCTTCCAGGGGAACAATTTACACTAATATGCCATAAGGTCATGGGGAGCAGCAGAACGAAAGCATTTACAAAAGCAAAGAAAGGGAAAAAAATATATAGCTATCACCCCCTTCCCCGTTTAGAGGAGTTCTGCCCGTTTCTGGAGACACAACCACCACATAAGTCACTCCCAGAACAGAGTCACCGCAGGAGCCAGCTGCACTCAGCAGAGCAACCAGTGTCTCGATGCAAACTGCACATTCCTAGAAAATGACAGGGGAGCTACTTATGCACCCATGACAAAACACATCATATTTCGCCTTCACAACATACCCAGTCTTTCAGCCACATTGTTTCAGCTACAACTGGCAAAATAACAGCTGAAAGTGTGGGGATTCTGTGTGAGGATTTGCATGTTTAAGATGCATAAACAGCAATCTCAAGATGATGCTACCTTGCATATAAATCTAATGATAGAAACTGTATATAAGGTTCATTATAAGGTTCATTCAGCTGAGCTTCCCCTTTAGTGACAACACAGAAAATTTCAGGATTTTGCTGTCACAGTACATGCTCCAAAACAAGCACAAACCAGAACTTAAAGAACTTGACCTAAGCCCTCAGAGTGCAAGCAAACTGATGTGGAGAGGCCATGGGGCCCTCTGAGACTTAAGACTGGTTAAGAGGATTTATCAGAGGTTGATTTCAGAGGAGCACGTGATTCAAATCTCATTACAGATCACACAAAGTCATGTAGAGATGAAGAGACCTTGATAAACAAAACCTGACTTCAGCTGCGCACATGTCCACTGGCAGAAATGTCTTCAGAGGGAGTATCACCCGTTTCAGCCCTCCCACAGAGTTCATCCAGACAGACATGTTTCCTGGATGTGTATTTTACTGTTCCTATGCAGAAGTTTCGGCAATTTTATGGAGAATTTGGTACTGAAACCAAAATATCGCCAAGAAGGAGAGAGTGATCTAAGAAGAGCCCTAACTGCATGTGGATGATTAGCTCAACTGAGAGTAGTTGCTGAGTCCAGGAGCATTCAAGTTAGCATGGCTAAAAAAATGGCTTTTAATAAGACTTTCTCATTAAAAGTACATAGTACATACATTATAGCTGTTTTACAGCAGAGTAACCTATCACCCGGCTTAGTGCTCTAAAAGGAGAATTAAATGAGCTTTGTCATTAGTTATATCAGTTTAACCCATCACAGGAAGCCCCTGCAGAACAAGCTCCCTATACTGTTGGGAAAGAAGAGAAAATAAATAAAGACTCTTTGCGTAATGAAAGTCTGAGCAACCATGAGGGGACGACACCACATTTGGCTGGAGGGAGTAACTTGGTTCTTGTTACTGTCCCAAAATGGAGCAAAACCGAAGCTGTGATGGCACTCACGTACACACAGGGAGGATTTTAGATAAGGGTTTTAAACAAAGGCGTGAATATAAACCATACAAGTTAAAACACATTTAAATCCCTTTACAGGTGCTCTCTTTCATTAACGTATAGACATAAAAAAAATGAGCTGTTGTCAAGCAGGAGCATTTGCACGTCATTTACATGCCCTTTGACTTCCTCGGGAAAGCTGCTAACTGGGTGCGCACAGCCGGGCAAGGACAAGACAGGGCACGGCGACTCCTAAGCTGCAATAGATCAGCTTGGGGTAAGAAAGACCCCAACAAGGGATGCCGGGGAGCATTTTCTGCTGCTACGTCATTTACATGCCCTTTGACTTCCTCGGGAAAGCTGCTAACTGGGTGCGCACAGCCGGGCAAGGACAAGACAGGGCACGGCGACTCCTAAGCTGCAATAGATCAGCTTGGGGTAAGAAAGACCCCAACAAGGGATGCCGGGGAGCATTTTCTGCTGCTAATGGAAGAGAAAAGAGACCCCTAAACGCCTCAGGAAGCCTGGAAACGGCACCTCTGCGGCGGCT